ATACTATACAATATATATATATATATATATATATATATATATATATATATATATATATATATATATATATATATATATTGGCTCGAGCATTTTTTGCAATGAAATATCACTAATTCATTGATGTTCTATTTTTAAATTCAATCTTGCATCTGCCTGCACATGCAAAAAGTAAATACTCAATACCATTAATGAATGAAAAACATATCAAATAAATTAACCACATCTTTAAACCAGTTTCTTGTTGCGTGAAATCCGCCGATTTTTTCTTGATCGTGTCAAACCACTATGTCGAGATATATGATAAAACCGAAAGAGTGCCTTTATACGAGATTATTGATTTAGTTAATTTTATGTAACTGAAAATCTTGAATTTATGCTTTGTGAAATATTATTTCCAGATACATATTTTAACGATGTAAATAAGTGCGCATTACCTAAATCACAGATTATTAACTCGTTCTCTGTCAGAATTAATATGTATTTACTATTTATGAAGTTCCGTATTGCATCTCAATTTGTTCGGTGATATAAATATTTGTACATTGTACGATTTCAATATTATTAATGATACCAGTCGGATTACCACGAAGCCTGGGAAAAATATCAATTTGAATTAATAAACAACTGAATAAATATGTGTGATCGATTTCTTAGAAGTGTTTACGTATGTTTAATATGTGGAGAGTTTTCATATAATAAAATATTTTAGTTTATAATTTCTTCTTTATAATGGCAACAACAATACCAGAATGATGTAAAGCACACATGTCGAAGTATAATTCAATATTAATATTATTAAGTTGGGTTGCCGATTAGCCTATTGCTGCTGATGTATAAATAAACACGTTTCCCTCAGTATCTAAATTGAATAGTTTAATCCGTTGTTCAATTTTGCGTATTCGGTTCGCTCGTTCCACACATGCACCACTTTTCCCATAAATAATATAACATTTGACTAAATCTCATCCTTAAATCTCACTCTATAAATAATATTTCTACAGAAAAGCATCTGTTCTCTAACACTTTAAGCGTAAACAAAATTAACTCCGCATTCATGCAACAATGGAATCCCTGGCACAAATTGACTTCTCTTGCATCACAATGCGCCGCATCGACAACCCTTGAGGAACCCTTTCACATAGCACGCGCCCAGGAGGCAGATGCATTTATTCTATATTTGTGAATAAACTTAATTCTGTTTCCAAAATTCGTCCTTTCACTTATTCAGATCTAGCTGTATGATGAATACTTATTCAACACTAGACACATAAAAATTAACGCGCCTTGGATGCAGTTAGATTAAATTTAATAATATTTGTGGTGACCTATTTAATTATAATCAAAAACAAAATTATAGTTTTGTACATTGCTATAATTCTTTATCCATCAGGATTTCAGTTGAAATATTTTTGCTGAAAATATAAACTTGCAAGTCGAACTCCACTTAAACTGAAAATATGAGGGCGGACATTGTATTAGTTTTTTTTTAAATTATATAACTGATGATTCCAATCACTCTTTATCAATTACTCCTATGTGGTACTTGAATTAAGCTTACCTTCAAGCTTTATGAAAAAAAAACTATTTGACCCAAAAATACATTTAACTCAAATCGATGAGATTCAAGTACCTATTATTGTTTTTCCACAAATCTCGAAAAGGTAGTTATTCTCATTTTGATTTATTTTTGCGAGTGCTTTAATTTACATAATGTGCTTAAAAAAATATTAAACTTGTTTGCGACGTCCAAACCAGTCGAGACAATTTCTACTAATGAGTTAAAATTTAATTACCATAAAAGATTGATATAAATTAATATACTTGCGTGACAACACGAATTGCACTAGATGCTTAACGATAAAATTTCACTCAATTATATATATATATATATATATATATATATATATATATATATATATATACTATATATATATATATATATATATATATATGTACTTTTATTATTTTAGTGCAATTACACTTGGGCATAGTAATATCTTCTTAAGTGGTTAAATTACATTGAGAGTAATTTTTGTTTTAAGTAACGTTAATTGCTACTTGTTTTGTCCTCTGATCATATGAAATCATTTGGTGGTGTTAATTTATAAATATATTGAATTTATTTGTGATATTAAAGGTTACAAATTCTATAATTTATTTATTTTGATAAATGATCAATAAATACTTTTTGAGTCAGTATAAAAATAATTCAGATTTACTCTAAAATCTATTTTTTATTGTTTCTATTTTCTAGAACATCATAATTCAGTGAAAATTTATAATAATCAAGAAAAGAATTTTTCTGGATTTTTTTTTATGCAATACTACAATTAATAATTTAAAATTGAGTATAAAAGCTAATTAAATTATTCATATTAAATATTCAGGCAATATTATAAAGTTCAGTAATATCTCTCTAAAGTTTTATCACAAAACTATTTACCATCATTAGTCGATTGTTAATAATATATTGATTTATCATGTTCTAACATTACCGTTTGCATTTTCAATCTAATAAAGACATCCAAAGGTGTTTGTGCAAATAATCCCAAACACATAAATCTAATCCTCCGTCGGTTTAGATTTCAAATTTCCAACACTCTTCTATTTCCACTCTTAATCCTTTTTCATGTCTATTAGTCGAATGCACTCGCACAATTGTTGAACTCGAGTGTTTATTAAATTGCGAAACGATATAAATCAAGCAAGAGGCGACGGATTTTCGCAAATGAAACATTTCACGGTTATGCTCAATGAATCGAATTAAGGATTTGTCGTGCGCATTTTTACCCTTTCCATTGTCCATGACCTGATGAAGTGCAAGGGTAAAGGATAGAGTGATGAATTTTAAAGGTTGGAACTGTAATTACATGTTTAATAATATTACAGCAAATGCAAGAATTAAAAAACTGCATATAATTTTTTTTTAATTTTTATTGGCCTCCACTTTACAGCATTTTTAGCCACCTACATTATTCATATTATTTTTCATCATATATATACTATCTCTTTTTATATCCTAATCTTTCATTCAATTTTCTTTCTTCAATTCCATTCAATTTTCATTTTTCTTCTTGTTTCTCAATATGTTCTTCTCATCTTTTAAACTAAATTTCTTTTCCTTCTTACTTCTGATACAATTTTTTCTTGTATTCTACAAATTAACAATTCTTAATCTACTTTAATATTCTAAATTTTTAATTCTGGTATTGCTGGAGATTCGAACCGAATTCCTCCAGCATGTGAGTCGAGAACGCTACTGAGTGAGCTATCCCCGCCACCCTGCATATAATTATAAATTATTGTACATCATTGTTTATGTTTACATTTACTTAGATGTATAAATAACAAATAATTTTTTAATTTTTGCAATTGTCTTTGTAAATTACTACATTTAGCCTATAAATTCATTTTTATATGGAGTACCCTACTCGACCAGAATTCGATCCGGGTCCCTTCATATCGAATCCTGCGATAGAGCCACTTGACCACGGCATTAATAAAATTTATGGAAGTAATTTTAAATTTTGCATAAAATAAGTTTATATTTTTTTACACTGTGTCGTTAGTGGCTCTTACTAGCTAATGAATATTTTAACTTCAACATTCAAGTTTTGTTTTCATATAAAAATGAACTCAAAAATGTTATGTGCCAATATAATGCCAATATGTATTTATATCTCCAGCCTGATGTCAAACAGTAGTGACATAGGTTTTCACTTGAAAAAATAGATAGCAATAGTTTTCCAAATGAAAATAGCCCTTACCCGGCATTGCTAAATCAATAGAAAAACTTGCCACTATTAAAGAAAATTTAATATTAATTATACATCATATAAGAATGGGATAAAAAACCGACGTACTTTGCAAGCAACTCACCACAACAGCTTATAGAACCCTTAATTTCTGATAGCTTTTAAACTAAAAAAAAGTTATATAAACGACGCATCTGGTAAACTGGTCCTGTGCTTTTTTTGATATAAGATAAAATTTCTGGAAAAGAACTAATTTTAGGCTGTTATTTTCTATAATAATTTATAAAAAACCGACGTATTTTGTAAGCAATTCATTGCAACACTTTATAGAAGAACCCTTAATTTCTGATAGCCTTTGATTAAAAAAACGTTATATAAGCGACACATCTGGTAAACTGGCCCAGCGTTTCTTTTGATTTAAGATAAAATTTCTGGGAAAGAACTAATTTTGGGCTGTTACACTTAAGGTTTTTATAATACTTTGTTTGTCGTAGTCAAATGAAAAGCGCTGCTAATATTGCTAAAATGTACACGAAGCTCATGTTCACCCAAATGCTCGACGATTTTACTGAATTTTGGAATAGTTTCGATTTAGTATATTTACTCTCTTAACTTTTGAACTTTTCATTTAAACTAAAGGAGGTTTTTTTACTTTTCGGCAACCTTTTTAAATTATCCAAGTTGTAGACACTAAGAATCAAATCAAATTGACTTTAGATAAATGTTGAGCAGCATCTATATTGGAACTTGATCGTGTTCCAACTTCAATTAATCATACTTTAAAATTTTCATTAATCCAATAATATAAAAAAGCATATTGAATACACATACTATAAAAAATTATTTCTTTCTTGATCGATTCTGAATATATTCTTCTTGAGACTCCAATTAATTAAATCGATTACGACTTGTTCTACCCGGCAGCCTCCAGCTTGCGCCGCCGGTACTGTTCCTTTGAGTGCGACGTGTTTGATGTGTAATTAGTGTGTGTACGAGTTACAGGGCGCACGCTAATTTGAAAGTCAGACAACCGATCTTCTTTATGTAGCATATATCACGTCGACGAGATCAAGAAGAATTACATCAAATTAATTGCGAATGAAATCCTCACAGTTTTATGTAGCATTTAAGCGTTTTAGTATACTTTTTATGAATTCGTTGAGTCAATAAGTAAATCGCTATAAATAACTAAATTTATTAGTAACAAACTATATAAATTTATTTTTTTTATTTTCAGATAATTATCAGCATTGTGTTTGGATCCAGAAAATTATTGCCTAGGACTGAAAAGTTCAAGTTTTAATGAGTTTCTAATACACGAAAAAGGTAAGTGACATTTTTTTATTTATATCTACTTATTATTTTTGAATTGACGAATGAAAAATTGTTGTATCCACATATAGGGTTATTTATACAATTCTGTAATAAATCTAGTATATTACCATCAATAAGGTAAAACCTTAATTATGTTCGTTTAAAATAAATTTAATAGATTCATACGTTTCGAGACCCAATTTATCTCGGTGGAAACTAAACACATAAGTTATTAAACACAAACGAATATATCAATAAAATTCCAAAATATATGATCAATAAAAATATTACTTCATTTTATTTTTTGTCCGAGTTTGTGTTTAATAACTTGTTTTGTTTGGACTGAGAAAGAGTGAAATTGGGAATCGAAACGTATCGATCTATTGAATTTATTCTAAGAAACATAATTTGGTTTTCTTTCTTTTTTAATATTTGGATTGATGGCTGTTAAGAAGTATTTATGTATTAAATTATTTAAATATGTTTATAAATATCATATACATACATAAAAATAAAATATACAAACACATACATACATATATGTATGTGTATATATATATGTGTGTGTGTGTTTGTATGTATATGTATACGTATGTGTTTGTATATATACATACTCAAAAAGTAATTAAAACGAGCTATAATCTCTTCTACACATAAATATATGATGAAACGAGAGCTAGGGAAGACTTTTGACTTTTGCGTAAAATTAAAATAATTTTCAAAACCAGGTTAATAAGTAGTTAAAGCTATTGAGGGCATTTATTAATTGCAAATTTCTTGTCAATCTGCAAAGAACTTAATTATCTATTTGAAACACTTAAGAAAAATTCAGCAAGTTATCAGCAAAGTTTATTCTCAAATAATATTAAATATTCTGTATCATTCGTAAATTCAATGAAGTCTGTTATAAAAGTTTGAAAAACATATATACACGAAGAAAAAACAAACTTAAGTACATATAAAACAATTTTCTAGTTTTTTTATGGCCTAGCTAACTTCAAGCATTTAGCCACCTACAATATTACTTCATATCCTATAAAATTTCCATTTTAGTATATTATTCCTTGAACTTCGAGCAATAGTTTTTCTATTTTTATTTTAACATTTGCACTTTTTGGCCATTCGGTTATTTAAATTGATTACAACTCTAAAATTGCTTTTTTACTTTGAATGCAAATTTTTTAAACGAATAATAAATTTTCTAAATAAATAAATTTTCTAAATGCATAATAATTTTTTCTTGTATTTTAACATTATGCTTGTGTGATTACAAATTGATTATTGATTATCAAGTCAATAACAATTTTCAAATTTAATTTTGCTCGTCCAGGGCGCTTTACCTTCCGCCGAGCCTCCCAACTTGGCGGCTGCACATATACTCCAGCTCGCGTATTCGTCGTCATGTGGGCTCTTCGCGCTCTGCTGAACATCGCATTATTCTAATTGTTTATTTAATTGCATGTTAATCGGATGATGTGCTATTGTTTTTCATGATAATGTTAATTGCTTCGCCCGTCACCCCGTTTTTTGGGACTGACGACAAAAGCTCATTGTGCATACGCCTGTTGTCGCTTTATATTTTTCATGGTAATTAGCGGTAAAGCATTATATGCGATAGCGATTATGATATGTGTGAAAAATGCTGTAAAAATTCTGTAATCAGCGGGTCAACTAATTAATTTAAAGTTGCTACCCTAAATTTAATCACTACGGTTTATAAAAATAATGCTACTTACTGTGTATATATTTCTTACGATAGAAATCTACAATACAATATGGATTTGTTGGCAATAAGTTAGTATATATTGTTAAAAATCTCATCTATCTAAATCGCCCTTAACTTAACTTTGCTATATGGCATATAGCCACTTACAATTACAACAAATTAGCCAAAATAAATACGAGTAACTAAACAGTGAAAATTAGTATGTAATAGATATATTTTGTTACTTGTAGGTTCAAACAAATACATTATTAGACGAAATACATTATTAGTTGGCCAATTTTGCCTTAAAATACCCCAATGTTATGACAAGGCTATGTTACGTGCCAGTTTTCATACAAAATGCTACTAAATACTGATTAAATGCCATCTATTAACTGTGTGATCAGACATTTTATATATAAAATGCAACTTCACTCATATGTTATCAAGCCATATTTCAAAGATGCAGTTATGATAATATCGTTTTTTGACATTTGTGCGTTTTCTAGGTTAGGCTTTGTGTAAAACGCCTGACTGCACAGTAACCATATTAATTTTGACAGTTTCTAGTACTATTTTATATAAAAACTGCTACATAAAATAGCCTTGCCATAACATTGATCTATTTTACGACAGAATCGGCTCCTAAATTTTTTTGGATGTGCTTGCATATATATTAAAAAAATTATTAATATGACTATCTCCACGCGTTAATTTTCTACTTAATTGATATTATTTATACTTGCAGGTACACTTGATCTTGTACTTGTCGAACAAGATCAAAATACAAAATTAAATCTTTGTAGATGTGTTTGCATATATATTTAAATAGATATTAATAGAATCATTAAATATCTAAACGGATTTATAAAGGTTCTGAATGTTCAGAAATTCAGCTGTTTAATAGATTTTAAGTGATACAGCCAAATTGATTTAATTTTACAAATATTTTTTTGTTAAAATAGAAATTACAATCAATCAATTTATGAAGATTTATTTATCTTATAATTAATGCCTTTTTTACTATTAGGCTTCTGGCATTTTTATGACATATACCAATTTATTTTAATTTATTTAAGGGCTGAGTTCTATTTAATTGGACATAGCTCCACTTCCACCTCATTTCTCCTTCATTACAAGCGGCGACATGTAAACATGTGCTGTCAATTTTTATGGGGTGGCGGGTGACCATATCTGATGTTATAAACTAACTAATAATGATTCAAAGTGTTATTACGACCCTCGACACTTTACAACAAGGTCCATAAGGGAGATGACGTTTTGAATCATGTGCCAATTAGATGATCAAGTAAAACACGCGACCAAATATCACAGATGGCCAGATGACGGTGGCACGAATACTAATAAGTCGACACCTCAGTTTATTGACTATAATATGAATTGGGTGATAAATTAACTATTACTCATACTCAAGATTTTTGTAGTAAAGCGCTCTACTCTAAAGCTAAACCATCGATTCATAAACTTTTTTATCGAGAACCGACTGGGCTTTGCATTGGATCTCCTCGACATCGTTTTTTTATACATGTGTGATAACTGTCTGATGTCGGTTTAACTCTTACGTCTTATATTTTTTTTCTATAGTATCCAGAATTTTCTAACATTTCACATATTAATAATCTTTTCATATTAAAGTGTGTGTTAGAATGAAGTACTACATATTGCGGTTTATACATAGAAACAGTTGATTTAATTTCTTTTTTAACTTCTGTAGATTTTTTTAAAACTTATAAATATTGTATTAATATAATAGATAAGCCTAATTGAAAGTAGAAAAAAAAATTATAACTGAATCTTCTAACTTTTCAAATCGATTCAAATTGTTCCTCACTATGAATATGATATAATATAAATTTGTTAATCAAGATAGGATACCTACTATGAAAACTTTTCAGCCTCTGCTTATATTTATATCTATTACTTTCATACAATAGAAAAACGTTACTTTTAATTAACGAGTTTAAATTAACTTTTATTCGTAGGATGGAGAAATCCTTTATCGAAACGTGCACGTGCAACTGAACAGTAACTTTTAACCCTTTTTATACATGTGTGATAACTGTCTGATGTCGGTTTAACTCTTACGTCTTATATTTTTTTTCTATAGTATCCAGAATTTTCTAACATTTCACATATTAATAATCTTTTCATATTAAAGTGTGTGTTAGAATGAAGTACTACATATTGCGGTTTATACATAGAAACAGTTGATTTAATTTCTTTTTTAACTTCTGTAGATTTTTTTAAAACTTATAAATATTGTATTAATATAATAGATAAGCCTAATTGAAAGTAGAAAAAAAAATTATAACTGAATCTTCTAACTTTTCAAATCGATTCAAATTGTTCCTCACTATGAATATGATATAATATAAATTTGTTAATCAAGATAGGATACCTACTATGAAAACTTTTCAGCCTCTGCTTATATTTATATCTATTACTTTCATACAATAGAAAAACGTTACTTTTAATTAACGAGTTTAAATTAACTTTTATTCGTAGGATGGAGAAATCCTTTATCGAAACGTGCACGTGCAACTGAACAGTAACTTTTAACCCCTATGTACTTTTATGGTGGTATTATATTTTAAGGCGATTGTTTAAGTGCACTTGCATGTTCTGAAGGGGTTGATTGCTGTTGGATATAAATTATTAAATAATTGAACGATTCATTGTTGAGAGTGTTGTCTATATCATTTAATTTAACGAACTTTTATAATAGAATAGAATTGACATAATATATATATATATATATATATATATATATAATATATCTTTTTGTATTCTTACATTTAAAATTATATATAAATTACAAAATTTTCGCTTAGTGGACAATAAGAAATTTCAAAATGTTTTACATTTACACATATGAATTTTCATACATTTCAATTTTTTCTCATAAAACTTACGAATTAATATTCGTAACTTGTATATTTTTTTACTCTACCGGCAAATTCATATGCAACAAATATTTTTTGGTGGATTGAATTCATTTTATTTTCGAAAATTTTGAAATATTAATAGACGATTTTATTGCACTTTTTTTCATTTTATTCTATATGACAAATATTTTCTTAAACTTGAATATATGAGATTCGCTACGGTCAATATTTTTCCTTTATTATATGAATAAATGCACTTATCATTTTATTATGATAAATTGATCTTTCAAGCGGGTGTTACTAAAACATTATATCACATCATAAATTAATTCATTCTCGTATAATATTTCAATAATAGTAAATTATCGATGCGCGAGTGCTCCAATAACAAATATAATACT